AGGGTCCAGTCACTGCTTATCTTTGTGGCCTCTGTCTACACTCCACTCACAGCTCTCCACTCTCCAGCTACTGGTTTTTCTTGCTTTCCCAGACCACTCATGCCTGTTCTTGGACCACAAGGCCTTTGCATGTGCTGTTTCTACCACCTGGGATGCTCACTTCCTTCGTTTCTACCCTTCCCTCAGATTCCAGCTCACCTTCTCTTCCTCAGGAAGGCCTTCCTGACCCCTAAGGCCGTGTCACCCCCTCAATCTCCCAAGTGCCTTTTCTTCCCTGCCCTGTCACAGATGTGATCTTACTTTGTGATTTGATGCTCTGCCTTCCCTTTAAGTTGTGCATGCCATGAGGTCACCAGCAAGGTCTAGGGTGGCTCTTATATCCCTAGAGCCAAGAACACTGCAGCACGGGGTGGGCACACAGTAGAAGATTTTCCTCCCTATCCCTGCATGTGTAGAAAATCTTCCAGGGCAAAGAGAATTGCCAGGCATTGTACATTTCCAGGGCCAACCCCTGCAGCTAATCATTTTACATTAAGAGGAAATAAGAGGAGAACTCGGTGGTCCTTCACAGTGGATTCCTTCTAGTCCCATTTTCCTATAATACAGTCCTGGTCTCCCAGGAACATGGAAATGATCATTGCAGCCAACTGTTGGGGATGCACTGTCTGTTCTGTTTCAGAGAAGATACAATCATCTGTCTCTAGTCCCGGGCAGGGGCACAAATATGCTGGGGGCAGCTGTTGCCTATTCCCCTAAGAAGCTGGGCGTGTCTGGCTAATTGCCACACAGGTCCTGGGCAGCTGGAACAACACAGGGCTTATCTCCCCGAGGACTCTTTACATTAAGATCGTACAGCAGTGCATCCAGGAGGCTGCTGGCTTGAGCAAGGCCTTTGCTCTGACTCTGGTCTCACTACTGCTATGGAGGCTTTGGAATTCAGGGCCTGCTGGGCAAGTGCTCTATAGCTGAGCTACTCTGCAGCCCAACCTCTGCATATTAGTCTTAACACTCAAGGCCTTCTGAGCACATGAACCTTTAGCTCACAACGTGAGGAATGCATAGGGGACATGAGACACAGCGATCTGATTTCAAAAGATCCATGTCACTACAGATGCCAACATGGTCCAAAATGCCGAGAGCATAATTTTCTAATGCAGTTTCTTTGCTGAATAATTCAACTACTTTGCAGGCATTCTATGCACAGATACTCTTCTGGAACTTGTTTTAGAGTAACGCTATAGCTCGTCTAATGGCAAATTATAGGTGTGGAAATTATAATAGGCCAACTATATGTTGTGCTGCTATTTTCCTGTGTGTTCAACAAAGAATACAATTTTAACAACATAAAGTTAATATGTGGGCTTATTGTGTGCATTTAAAACTATGGACATTATTATTGTCCATATGAAGGGATGTTTTTACACACTGGCAAAGGTTTTCTTATGAAGCAAACTCTTCTCAGGTTCCTCTGAGCTCCTGTTGTGATGGTCTTGAATAAAGCCAATCTTTCTTCAGTAAGAATCACTGAATAATGTTTTATCAATACATATATAAGACAAATATATGCAGGATACCTAAAACTGTCCAGCCACTTAACATTTCCATAATAAATCAATCCTCTTGTACATTTATTTGTGATTCATCCATACACAAGAAAGGTGTTAGTGTAAAGTAGTTTTTGAAGCTATACACAACTTATCAGGTTGAACTTCCTTAGGTTGTTACATTTGTGTTTTGGGTTAAGAACTAGCCCAGGCAGTGTCTCCTTTGCAGAAGTAAAAAACAAAAATTGGGAATCTACTTAAGCAGAAATGGTGCTGCAAGGTAAAACATGGAACATTTTAACTAGAATAACTTCAGTTATACAAAGAATCCATCCATCATGACACGAAGACATTCTATAGTGCATCGTCTATCTTCTCCAACTCAGAGGCAATGTTTCTTAATAAGCACAAGTAACAACTGTACGTAAATATCATATTCAGCTGCCAAATTAATCAGTTTGGCCATATTGATTACAAAAACTTGCTGGGAATAGTATGAGAATGATTTCAAGCTAGCAACTTTGCTTGGCACATTCAGATTCTTTCTTCCGAAACAATAAAAAGTTTCCAGATTTTTAATGGTTCATGAGTAAGCTGATGCCTTTGTCCTTGCACCCATCCAAAGGATGAGTTTTCAAAGGTCCTGAAGGTGCCAGCGTAATCAGCCAAGGAGGACTGGGGCTTTGCCTGTGGCCTTGCCGAAGGTATTAATTAAAGCCCCTGACCTGCCAAAAGGAAATGCATCTACCATCCTGGCATTCGGGGATTCAGGCTGACAAACAGAAATTATTTAAATGTGTGTTTTACATAGCAAAGTCAGGTGGGACTTGTTTTTTTCACTGCTTACAGAACACTTGCATTTTCTTCTCTGATCATGTCTTGTACCTGCCTTTGCCTCTAGAATACATTTCATTTAGATGTTGTTCTTTAATATTTTTTATAATGGACATGTCTGTATGAGTTTATGGGGTACAGTGTGATAATCTTAGCATGTATGTAACACAGAGTGATCAAATTGGGGTAATTAGCACTTTTTTCTCTTTAAACACTTATCATTTCTTTGTGTTGGGCAGCTTTGAGCTCCCCTTGTCCAGTTTGTTACCAAATGTATTATAAAGTGATACAGGCTACAGTTGCCTTGCTGTGCTGTAGGGTGCTAGCACTCACTCCTTCTCTCCAACTGCATTCTGGTGCCCACTGATTCAGCAACACAACTGTCCGTTCTCTCCCCTTAGTCAGTGGGGGCTGCCCGCCCAGGGGGCCGCTTGCCTGTAAGTCACTCAGTGGCCTTCAGGCAAGCACAAGTGAGCCGCATCCTGCTCCTTTAAGCATTCTGTACAAAGACAGAGAGAGGACGACAGAGCCACGGCAGAAGGGCTTGGCCAGAGGGGCCACGAGCTAGAGATCAGGAAACCAGAGCATCCTTCTGACCTCACGAATTAAGAAATCATAGCTTGTTTAGACAAGATACCATGTCTGCATCTTTCACTGTGAATAACTACTATGAAGACAACAATATGCAATGTATTAATTATTGTAACTGTCCTACTAACCTGTTTTGAAACTGTGTCATTGCTACTTCTTTCTCAATAAAATTACTATAAAAAAAAAACAAATCATAGCTACGGGGTACTGAGGCTTCTAAGACACACAGTGTCTGCACTGGAGCTGTTGCAGATGTTCAGAACTTTGGAAAATTTTTGCATAGACTTTTTCATGTCTGCCATTCTCTTTCTTTCCCCAAAGTAGATTGGTTCATAGGTTCTTGGGTCTATGACGTTTGGGTACAAAAAGTGGATCGTCTCTCATTTCAGGGTTTATTGGGGACAATACAAAAGGGAGCAGAACCCGATAGGTGAAGGAGGTGATTCTGAGCAGGAAAGACAGCAGGTTGAGTTTCTGGGTTATGGAGGGGAAAGGGAAGCGAGGGCTCTGAGGAGGCAGTCTTGAGGAGAAGGCAGGCACAGCACTAGCAACCCAGTGCTATGGCTGACGGTGTCCTTCCCTAGTGGACATGCTGCAGTGCTGAGCCCCAGTGAGATGCGAGCTGAAGCTGGGGCTTCTGGGAAACTTAGGGTTAGAGGAGATCAAGAGGATGAGGCCCTTGTGATGGGGGTACTGCACTTACCAGGAGAGACTTTAGATGGTATCCATCCTCTTACACACACACACACACACGCACACACGCACACATCAACATGTCATGCGAGCAGGCAGCAGGATGATAGTCATCTGCCTGCTAAGATCAGAGACCCCTGGATAAAAATCCGTCTTGTTGACACTTTGATCCTGAACTTCCAGTCGTCAGAATTCTGAGAAGTAAATTTCTCTTATTTAAAATACCAAAGTGGGGCCAGGGAGACAGCTCAGCGGTCTAAGTGCCTTCCTGGCAAGCCTGAGGACTCGGGTTCCATCCCAGGTCCCACATGCCATGCGAGTCTCTGAAACTAGGCGTGGTGGCGCAGGCCTGTAGTTCCAGAGCTGGGGAGGCTGAGACAGGAGAACCACTACAAGTCTAAGATGCTTAGTGAGACCCTGTACCAAATGCATAAATAAATATAAGATTAAAAAATAATGAAATAAAATACCCAGAGTGTGCTGTGTATTATGGCAACCTAACCAGACTAACACAAAAATAAAATGAAACTGTACAGCTTTCCTAGCATCTCATCTCAAAACCAACGCAGTGAAATAAAAGCTTTTCCCCATAGCTCCCTCTCTCCAGACCCTTCCATATCCAAAGACATCCACCTACTTTGTCACACAAAACCTCCACAAACACTAACTCGCTGCAGGTACTAATTCCTATTCCCAGTGTACAGATGAGGAAGCAGCTACCACGTGAAGCAAGCAGAGCAAGCTCATACAGTCAGCCAGCCGCAGAGCAGAGCTCGGAGCTGAGGCACAGCCGCCCCAGGGCCAACCACCTCCCAGATGTGCCGCCCTGCACATCCCCTCGCCGTCACTGGGCAATGGACTGGATAGTTAGGCTTGTCACTCTAGCAACGACACTTTCCATTCTCGCTCTTCTGCCTTGTCCAGGAGACATTCACTTAAGACTTTTCCGCCATGAAATTCCCCGTTCTCATCGCCAGTGAGCACACATAACTCAGTTTCTGCTCTGTGCTGACTTTTACTGGAGCGGTGTACATAAGCATTACATTGTCACAGCTAGAACGAAGGCAGCCAAGTCCAGATTACTTATAGATCAAATAAAATTGCTGGTTTAGAAATTAAAAAGATAATAAAGGAACCAGCCCAGAGATAAGAGAAAAACCACAGAGGCTATAAAAAATATTCACAGTCATACTGAGGAATTATTAAAGATAGGAGCGACTCCAAGACTTGAGTCTTTCCTTTGGTCTGGACAGCTTAGGGTAATTAAATTCTTCCAATTAAGATACAGAGTTGAATTCAACTAATAGCAACAAGGGATAAAGGAGGCCATCACCTTACCTGCTGATGTGTGTTTGAACTTTTCGCTTTTCTTCTTCCTCCATTTCCAAGGCTTGAAAATCCTCCCCAGGTTGGCAAACTTACTTCTCCTCCGGATGGGTGGGGTGTGGGTGCCCGGCACGAGGGAGTCAGAACGCATAGCCGCCAGCCTCTCCACTTCCTCAGCTTGTTGTCCCCAGAAGAGGTGGAAACAAAGAGAAGGGGGAAAAAGTGTTAAAACGGGAGACTAACAGATGGCTGACATTTTCCATGGCTACAGATAACAGAAACCCCGTGACTGGAGCTCCGTTTGCCTTCTAGGCATAGCTCAGTGTTCTAAAGGCTGGGGATAGTGAGCCCAGCTCTACAGATTCACACCACACCATCTCCAACCCAACCCAATTTATTCATTTATTTCAAGAAACAGCATCTCACTATGGCTGTCCAGGCTGGTGCCCAAACTCCTTGGCTCTAGTGAGTCCCTGCCTGAGCCCCTGTAGCTGGCACCATAGGAGTTCACCCCTGTTCCCAGGCAGCCCAAACGCATCTGCTCAACCTTCGCTTAGATGGGAGGAAGAGTGACAGGCTCTTTGGAGGCACAAGAGACTCTCCAACAGGGAGGGAAAGGCCATCAGGAGATTCAAGTGACAGTGTAACTGCTGGCCCAGCAATTTCTCAGTTAAGACTTGGTATAGGGAACCACTACAGCACTGTTGTGGAGAAATAAAGGAGGAAGAAAACCTGTATCAAATGTCCATTCCCGGGCTGTGATCCCGACCATCCACTTCCTACCTCCCTGCTTTACTCTGACGTTGGGACACTGACACGCATGGAGGACCTGGCTTGACTGCAGGGTGACCAAGCTGGCTGTAGAATTACTACCACCCACACCTGCTTGAGCTCGTTACAACTGCCTAACCTCCTCTCCTTCTCTCCCCACCCCTCTGGAGTTTTGCTTTAAAAAATAATTATTAGGTGTCAGGAGATAGAAATATCTGCAGGGAATATCTATCCATCCCAGTGACTGAACATCTGCAGATGACCACCATTTGGGTCTGCAAGGCTCCCCCAAGGGAGTATATTAAGGAATTGGTTCCCAGCCTGCGGCACTCCTGGGAGGTGGCAGAACTTTAAGAAGTATGACTAATAAAAGGTCCTAAGTCACAGGGCACAGGGCACTGAAGGAGGTGATGTCATGGGGCCTCTGTATCTTCCTCTTCCTCTCTCCCTTTTGCTTTGTTGCCATGAGATAAGGATTCTGTTCACCATGTACTCCTTGCCATCATGTGCTACCTCTCTAGAAGTGCAAACCAACAGGATTAGTTACTTATGGACTGAAACTGCCAAAAACAAACCTTTCCTCTTTATACATTGATCATCTCAGGTATTTTGTTACAGTAACAGAAAATGAACAGAAGAGTGGTAATAAGACTCAATTTCTCTTAACAAAGTCTTCTGGACCCTCCCTTAAAGGCTACAACTGTCCCAGTGTCTTTCATCACACAGAATAAAACAAATTCTTTTCCAAGTTACATGGGTATTTATATATTCCACTGAGCTAAATATACCCTGACTTGAATTTCTAAGATGAGAATAATCAGAAAAAATAATTTCTCTGGCAGAATTTCAGGGATAGAAAGGACTCAACTTTTCAGAGAGCAAAATTACATGTAAAGCTGTAGCAAATCCAAACCACTATTCGTCCTTGAACAATGACCTTTAGAAAAATCACCCCGGCATTTGCAAATATGCAGTCCCCAAAACTCAAATCTTGTTGCCCGAGAGTTTCCTTGTCATGGTGTGAATGTGCTTTTAACTGAGGGAGATCCCTTCATTGTACCAGTATATGTAGAACCTTGACCAGGTGGCAAGCAGTGTGCTCTGGTAGGTGTACTGGGGACAGATAAGGATGAGCTGGCCACGGCTCTGGGCAGCAGAACTGAAAAGAACAAGATAGAGTCGGGAAGTGAGCTGGAAGAAAGCCTGTTTGTAAGACTCAGTGATCAAGTGAGTGGCCTGAAGGACAGACCATAGCTCGTTCCCAATTCCCAGAGTCCCATTGGTGGAAAGGCTCCCTCTATTCATTGAGCCAAAGAATTAAGGGCAAAGCAAGGGCTTTTGGGTGAGCAAGGTGACAAGTAGGACATATTTCAATGAAGATGGTACTTAAACTACTCACTACAGATGCCCCTTGAATCAGGGTCTGGTTATCTCCTGATAAACCCATCGATGACTGAAAATACTGTAAGTGGAAAACGCACTGAAACCCCGTAACCTACTGCCCACCCCATCTTAGAAAGACGGCACACTGCAGAGTATGAGTTGTGAGCCCTTGTGACTATGTGGCTGACAGGGAGCTGTGGTCCTGGTGCTATTATCCAAGACAAGATTAGACCATGTGTCAGTACCATGGGAAAAGGCTACATTCAAAATAGTTTCTCATGGATGGGAACATTCTGGCACCGTATAGCTGATGACTCCTAGTCAAACATGCATAAGTTGGCGACCTAGTCTGCACAGCTCAATGCATGGGCAGCTTCTCTTTTCATAGAGAGATCACTTAATTCTGTATCAGACACTGTGATCACTCATAGAGTAAATGGAAGAGGAGGGGGAGACAGAGGGTCAGTGTGTAAAACACCACAACAGGGGGCAATGGAGGTGAAAGGGAGACAGTCAGCAACTCTGTGTCAGTATTGGAACAGACTCCAGGGAAGTGCTGTGTGGCTAGGTTTGGCCAAAGGAAGGAGGAGATGTAGACCCTTGGCAGGAGCAACAGCCCCAAGAAGGCAAGAAGAGCGTGGCAGGTTGAGCGACATCTTGGGCCCCAGTGAGCCCTGTGCATCACGAAGAGCTGTACACGGCGGCCTCAGGAAGCGGCTCATCCCAGCTTTCGACAGAGTTTATTCAGCCTCTGAGTTTTACTGTATTAGCAGAGAGTAAAGGATGAGAATTTGAAAATGAGAAATTCATATCGCATTCAAAAAATAGGTATTGGGCATTCACTAGGAACTTAGGTTGCATCAGTAAACAAATTATATAAAAATACTGACCTGTGGAGCTTGTGCTGGGGGGCGGGCAGGACAATCAATAAACACCAAGGCTAAGTAGAGAGGATGTTAGAAGGTACATGTATCAGGGGAAAACAAAAAAACCAAAGGAAGAGTGGAATGTAGCAAGGGAGATGAAGGTTATTCAGAGGAGGGGTCAATTTTAATTAGCATAGCAAGAATCAGCTCACTAGAGAAAGCACATGATCAGAATGCTGCCAGATCCGTTTCTCAGGGAAGCTACCGTGGAAACAAAGACAAGCTATAAGGAAATGAAAAGACAGAGGTGGCACACAGGACATAAGACGCCACTGTGGCCTGGTATCCAGATAGTACAGTGACAGTGGATGGAAAGGAAGATGAGCTTCAGCCAGGAGGGAGAAGAAGCAGTTTTGATTATTTCTGGATAAATATGTATGAGGAAGCCAGAAGGGGAAAGGTTTTCCGCTTTCAGGACTAGGTTGATGGGATGATTACACATGTGTGCAAAAACTCTGATGACAAGAAGATGTAGACTTGGGTGGCTCGAAGAAAAAGGCTGTACAGGCAGATAATGCAGTCTTCCTGCAAAGCTCTTCAGAGGCTGGATTTTATGTCACCACGTAATAAGAACTACTGAGTGGAGACCTGGAAATCTGCCATGTTGGGGAAGTGGGACACATTCTCTTGTGTACAAAGAGCTGCACATCTAGCAGAGGGTAAATGATGGAAGACACAGGAAAGAGACTGAGAAGTTTATGAAACTGAGTTCCATGGGAAGGGAGGCAGGACCAAAGTACAGCGGGAGGCGTCAGTCATGAGAAGATGATGCTGTGTGATTGAAAGCTGGGAATGAGGCCGCAAGTCACAAATGGTACAGATCAGATGGGGGCCTCAGGGAGATTAACCCAAGCAGCAGTGGATACAATGGGTGCTACAGGCAGCAAGATGGTTTAAGTAAGCTTGGGCTGTAGAAAGGCTGAGAAGACTGCTAAATATAAAAATAAAGTTAAATCAGCTATAATAAAAAAAATGAGAAGGAAAGCAAAAAGGCACAGGACAAAGAGGCTGGTGGAAAATGTTGAACTTGGACGTGCATCTTTGTACATAGACGTGGCATCAGCTGCTTAGAGAGTGCTTTGTGCACAAGCACAGTCAGAGCCACCGCTGTCCCCTGGATCTGGAATGTCCCCCAAAGCCCATGTATTGAAGGGTTCATCCCCAAGCATGGCATCACTGGGAGGTGGTCAGAGCCTTTAGGGCCTCCTTGGAGGTCTTCAGACCACTGGCCCTGGAGGGAACTGTGGAACCCCAGCCACTTCCCCTTCCTGTTCTGCCCTCGAGGTAAGCAGTTCTGTTCTGCCACACGTTCCCCCATGACCCCCTGCGTGCCCATCATAGTGTAAAAGCAACAGATACACCACACGTGGCCTGAAACCTCCAAAACCATGACCTAGGTGAACCTTTCTTCTAATACACTTATCATCTCTGGCATGTATCACAGTTGCAGAAAACTCACGGCCACATAAGGAATGATAATTGTGGGCAACTTCAGCAAGGAGGCTGAGAGTCCAGGATGGAGGGAACACCATCAGGGACATAGATCACTTGCTCTTGCCAATCAACTGCTTTCCTTCCACTTACCCTCATTTATAGACAGGTACGGTAGCTTGTGCAGATTTTATAAGTCTGCAGGACTTGCATTCCTGAACTTAATCCTGCTTCTTTCAAACTTCTCTTTTCTACTCTTACTAGATAGTTCTTTCAGAAGCCTACTCTTCACAGAACTATTAATGGCTTCCCATACCTTACAATAAAAATTTCCAATTTCCTGTTTTGGTTTTTAGAAATTTCAATCTGAGTGACCTGCAGCAAAATACCTTCTATACTTACAAAATACATGCTGCAGTGAAAATGAAATATTCCTTGCATGTAATAACAATTGTGCCCTGGGATCTCTGGATCTCCAAAAATCATATGCAAAGCTTTGGTACTTGGCGGTATCTGCTTTTGGTCAGAAGAGTTTTTGTCTTCCTTTGGTTTCCCAAACAGATTCATGTACAAAAGGTAAAATTTAGACATAACAAATAGTGGATTTGGGTTTTCTGAGCCCAGCCAACCTACATCATCTACTGAAGGTTAAAAAGAGGTTACATG